CACTGATTTAATAGGGGAAATTCCACGGGGTATGGTTGGATTGAGGTTGGGAGGCTATAGCAAAATTAAAGGTAGGGCTAAATATGCCAAAATCGTCCGCTCCAGCTCGGGGGGCTTCAGCCCATTCAAATGCTCGAAAGGGGATTGTGAAAAATTGCGAACAAAATAGAATCAATTGCCTCTCTAGAAAATCAGGGATCACTAGAGAACCAGGCACGTACTCCCAGAGATACTCAAATTATGCTTCTGGATTTTGGGCACCTAAACTATGCAGAAAACCAGCATCTTACGACTCAGAGGTCTCCAAAAGATGTTCTGTAGAAAAATGGGGGAACTTTTAAAGCAGCATTTAAGCACATTAGTGCTTTTCGAATTGTTGAAAATCCATCCTCTATAGGGGGGTTAACCGCCCTGATATCCTAGAGGAAACTCATACCCGTATGATAGATAGATAAAAAAATTGATAGATAGATAAATAGATAGATAGATTGATTGATTGATTAGATATATATATATATATGTAAATAAATATTCTTTTGTGTGTGTATATATATATATGTATAATATTATCAATCATTAAATACATTTATATGTTGCAAACAGTTTGCACTCACATAATTAGGTTAGCAATACTTGAACTGTGATCTCAATCCTTGATGCACCATTTTGACGCGTAGAATTTGTAGAATACATGTTTGAGGCAAATTTGAATATACAATTGATGCATATCCAGAGCTCAGTGCTGTGAAACGGCTGAGCATCACAAGCTGTAGAAAAAAGAGCTGCAGTTGTGCGACCACGGCAGTGGTCGAGAATTGGAGGGGATGTAGCTCCAGGGTTTTCAGCTCAACCAGAGGGTAAACTAACATAGCTATGGAAAATCACCATTTTTAATGGGAAAATCCACTATTAATCACCATTTTCAATAGCTATGTTAGTCATTACCAGAGGGTAATTCGAAGGAGAGCAGTACCATCAGTACCATTGCTATTGGATGATTGGACCTTCTCTGTTTGGGGACACCCTATGGCCTGGTCGGTGGGGTTCCCATCTCCCAACTGTTTCCTCTACAGTTTTGATTTGAAAAGTCACAGGTTTTGGTCAACAACATTTCAAATTACAGTACCTGTTGCAGAAGTGAGGCCGTATTGCTACACGCTCTGGGGGAGCTGGCTACCTGTGTCTTCCTCAGATGAAAGTGGGTTGTTCAGCCTTTTTTCGCGAGAAAACGGTCGTATCCAGAGGTTGTCCTTTTCCAAGCCATCCCACAAAGCTTTTGAACTTTCCTAGGAAATCAGCGCGTCAAAGATTCAGTGTCTGCTTGATATCCCCTATTGATATGGTGGTTTCCTGGAATAGGGGTGCCCCAATAGCTGGTTTATATAATGGAAAATCCTACTAAAATGATCTAAAATGGATGATTTGGGGGTACCCGTACTTTAGGAAACCTCCATATCCCTTATGATTGGCACCCAACTTGGCCATCTTGCCCGAACTCACAACTGCTAGGTCGCCGGCACTGTCTGCTGACTCTTTGCAGCAACCCCAACAGGGGCGGTTCGGTGTATAGCTCGGCAGTGCCCATGTTTTTTTTTGGGCCAATCCAGAGGTGAAAGCCAAAGCCCAATGGTGGTAACTCCACTGGTAACTCTCCAAGTGCAAAGTTGCTGCCTTGTGGTAATTTTTTCACGCCATGGGAAGTCACCATGGTAGGTAGGTAAATCATCTAAAAAAAGGAATATTTTCCATACTGTGGGTGAAACGATGTCATAAACCATCCCCCAAATCACCATAAATGGGTTGTAATGCATAAACCATTCCCAGTCATGGGTGGTTTATGACACTATTTTTACCCTAGATACGTAGCATCGAAGGGTCCATGAAATCTGCCTCTGGATCTTTCACGAAACGCGCGAACCACGCTGTGCTGGCTTGGTACCAGCTCCATGAGTTCGCCGTGGGGCCCAAGGATAGCGTCAAACGATACCTGAAGACCAGATCGGTGCAATGGAACTCACGGAGGACAGCGCTTGACAGTTTCTCAAAATTAAGGCTCCACCATCCGTATGGTTTTTATTGTCCTCTATTTTGGGAGGCCCACATTCTAGATTCACCTTGAGGGTCAACAGTTTCAAGCACAGTTTTTGGTGTTTCTCCAACAGCTGGCACATCCCAAACCTTCGACATGGAAGCTCGAAATGGGTTTGTCTGAAAACAGGGTACTCTGATGGTTTATCATCATTTTTCCTATGAAATGGCACGCAATCTTGGGGGTACCGGGCATACCGCATTTTCCGACACACCCAAACGGGATAAGAAGAGACTTACAATTACCAAATCAATCTGAAAGACGCATAAATACACATTTTTGATCCATGTTTCAATGGATTGGTTTAAGGGACAACCTTAACCGGAAACCATAGATTTTCCCATTAAACATTGAGTTTTCCTGAATTTTTTCCCTTAAACCAATCCATTGAATGTTGGGGATGGTTGCATTACATATTCTTGACTCTTGCTCACAATATCAAATCAGGAGTCCCTTTCTACTGGTTGGTGAGTGGGATTCCCCATGATGAATGCGACAATCCTCGCTATATTTTATATAATGACATGGATTTCAGAATAAGGTACCTCAAATATCCTCAAATCGGTTGGTCAATCACCACGTTCCCTATTCGATGGCCATTTTCTTGGGGTTAAAATCCAAAATTTCAAGGCACACCCATATAATCATCACATGGATCTGGCTGAGTTATAAGAATTCACCAACCCAAAAAAATGCTGAAATAAAACCATTTAGGGGATGATTCCCTGAATCCTAACCATCATTCTAGTGACGTCACAGTGAAGTTAATATAAACATAAGTCATCCGGATCATCCGACTGGATTTCTACTTTTTGTTGTTATCCAGTCTTCAAGTCTCTTCGCCCGGTCGGGCGACGGTAGCACCCTGAAACGCTTCACGTTTCAGTGGTAGGGATGCCTGACGTGGCAGCCGCAGGTGATGAAAATTCACGAGAGTTGCCTGCTAGAATCAAATTGCAACTAGGGTCTAGGGTTTCAAACATGTTTGCCAAATCTAAAGGTGGTAAACCCAAGAAAAAAATAACCAGTCATTACCAATTTCACAAGAAATGGGACCTTTACCCTCCAAAATTGGAGGTTTATCCTCTACTAATCAAAGATGGCAATGGACGAACCTCCGAAAATATATGGTTTTCCATGGTTTTCCTCTTAAGACCTCCAGTTATAGGGGATTTCCAATTGCCATGTTTGATTGCCGGAGGTATAGGTGCATGATCGGGCTTGCCAGGTAATACCACAGCAAGGGCGGAGATGTGCAAATCCGTGAGCTTCCAACCAGCCCTGGCCGTGCCTTCAAAGAAATGGTTGCAATTGGCCTCACAGCACCAAAAGACATCCATGCCTTTTCCCAAAGTCACACAACATGTTTATGCTTACGGCCCGAAAACCGGCCTAGCGTTTTTGCGATATTTGGGGTGGGGTGGGGCTGGTGGGGATGTTCACGTCATTTGCATGTGCTAGACGTGTCTTTCTTGCTACGCTAGACACGTCTTTGCTTCTCTTTCACACACACACACGTGATGCTACGCTAAACATGTTTTTTGCTACGCTAGACACGTCTTTGCTTCTCTTTCACACACACACGTGATGCTACGCTGAAGTTGAATATTCAACACAAATAGAATACTGTAGACCATTCCAGAGGTCAGCTAACTAAAACTGTCTACCGTGTGCAACGTGGAAATCCAAAGGTGGTTGCTCACACGGGCACAATCGATGCATGTTGGAAATCATGTAAAAAATGACTCCCAGCACTTTGTCAAGTCGCAATGCGATGATCATGTGCTACGCCAAAGCATGGCAATGGCGATACATAATTACATCGAAATGCTGATGTGTGTGATATCACTGCAAAGACGGTCCGCAAGTTGAAGTGATGGAAAAGAATCGCTAGCGCTGTGGCGAAACGCAAATGACCCCAAAATCCGTTACGTATTTTGGAGGTGCGTAACAACAAAAATATACTCGTCGTTGAGGTAAAACACGATTGATTTCTTTGCAGTTGGCAATGGAATTGCGAGCCCAAAAACACAAATGGTGCTTCAAATGTTGTAGAAAACGCATAATTTTTTATGTTTGGAAGAAGACTCTGATCATGAAAAACGATGAAAATGCTAGGCCGATTTCCGGGCCGTTCGGTTTATGTTTTAGTAATCTTGTATGGGTATGAATAATTGCAGGATTGTAGATATAAATTACTCTTTCAGAGTTTTTGCAATTCTTTTTTAACATTCCGAGCTTACCATGGAAAGCTGAAATTTGCAGGATTTGCCCAAGATTGCGTAAAAAATATATAACATATTCCCAACAAATTCCCCAAATGATGGATTAAACTGATTGAACATACCATCTGGCAATTTAGGACATTTAACATAGCTATTGAGCATAGCCATGTAGTTCGCTGAATTATTGGATCCCACTAAACCATATAATCCTATTTTTTCCTTTTTCATCCCATTAAAATCCGATAAACCATAAAAATAACCAATTAAACCATACAATACACGGTCTATTCATGTTTTTTCTCCTTTGTCATTTCATTAAAATTAAAATCCCATAACATCCCATAAAATCCCATTGGGGTTCACTTGAATGGTGCGCCAACCCTCGACCAACTTTGGATCCAAGTGGCTCTTGAAATCCAGGAAGGATACAGAGTTTGAATTGGGCGCGGCAAAACGACGCCACCTTAGTGGCAGGTTTTGCCCGGTGGTGCCCCAGGTCGTGAGCCAAAGTTGTTCTTACATAGCTCCAATACCTGTTATGTTTATGGTAGATATAAATTTATCATTTATCTATACCTAGTACTGAACTTATAACCCGGGGGGGGGCGCACCACTTTGTTTCAGTTTGAGTGATAGTCTTCTTAAAGCCGCGAATTCTCCAATCAACACCATCCCCAACATTCTTTCTTCGATTCCTTCGATTCGGGAAAATCTGCCCAAAAATATTTCTTCAGCTGGTTAGCAAAGTACAAAAAATGACATTGTACTAAAGCGCAAAAGATTTTCCAGATAAACATTTCAAAATTCAACTTTCCCAAGGACTTGACATCCAAAACGTAAATCTTGTGATTCTTCCCTTCCAGCTGGTGATGTTACGGTGTATGAATTCTTTGATTTTAGGGATCCGAGACCAACACCTAGCAATGGTTTGTGGAATGAATTGGGTGGATATGATACCCATATTCAGCTCAGAAGGCCTATCATAATATGCATTTATATCCTATTGGTACTATCATTATTGTCACTAATGATGATCGTTGCTGTTGTTATTGATCCACTGCAATTCTAATGTCAAAATTATTGTTATCGCCCGATTCTTGAGATTCTTTTCCAGTCATAACTACCCCCAAAAAGATGCCGACAAGTATTTGTAGGATGATTCGACGATGCAAGGAAAACATGGGCTAAGGACAACACTAGTCTCCTCAGGACATAATGTACAGCAAAAACTGCGAGCATTATTACAATCACTACTAGTACGTTATCATTATTTATTTACTGTTCTTATCCGTTGTATTATCTGACAATATCATCATTGTTACCCAATATGCTATATTATCCGTTTGATAATACATTACATACAACATACATTATCATTGTTATTTCATTACTAATTAATTAGATCTAATTTAGTGTAGCTAGCAATGTGGGATTCACCCAATGCCAAAAAAACTACAAAAAAAATGGGGATGTTGGAATCCCACCGATGATTGTGATGATTGTGAGGATGGTTTATGAAAATTATTGGGTGAATCCCACATTACTTTGATAAATTGATTGATTCATTACGTGAAAAAATTCTCGAAGCATTACCCTCTGGTAAATTAAATTGTTGACCCTGAAAATCACCAACTTTTAGTGGAAACTAATCTTCCAAATCTTGTCTGGCAGAGTCTATGTTAATTTACTGGAGGGTAGATATCCAAATATTCAATTATTTCCCAATCAGATAATTAATAATTACTAACTAGGGGTAATCCAATTAGATACTAAAATATCTAGATAAAGATAATCCTATATTCTCCAACCATTAGGTATCCAAATATCTCCTTTCATTGGATTGTTTTTTTTCGGGAAACTTTTAACCGAAAAGCCGAACATGATCTTCATGGGAAAATCGATGGTTTCCGGTGCGTAACCAACAGGCGCCCGGACAGTAGGTCCCATTGCTCTCCCGTGGGGCATGGCAGGCCCTGTGCTGCGTAGGCCTTTCGCAGGTCCAGCTGACTAAAGCCCAAGCCTCCGTTGCGGAGCGAGGCTTGAATCATCAAGGTTACTTATAGTAGATTAGTAGGTACTAATATCATTACTATTAATGATATTTACCAATATACTAGCATATTATTATCTAATATTATTTAATTACTTATATCAAATTTCTATTTCAATATTAATATTACTAGTAATCTGATATTCTTCTATGTCCTCAATATTAACTGATATAGTACAAATATGAATACTAAATAATCTAGTTGTATCATCAATATAGTTTATAACAGTTACAATACTGAAAACACATATTAGCAACTATCAATACTAGATAGTAACTAGCAGTAACTATATTGGTCATCATTAATCCGTAGGTTTTACTAGCGATCGGAGGTCGTTACATAACATAATGAGTAACGATTAGTATCTAATATTCAAAAATGATCCTAAATATAGAAAAATATACAATATACTGACTAGTATTCATCTTGAATTACATCGTTCGATATCACCCACATTTATGGCAATGATGTCACTAATATACTGTACAATAGTAATAATGTCAATAATAGTTAAGTGATTAGTAGTGCAATTACTATTTCGATTATTGTCGAATTACTATCACTATTGCGATATTAGTGTTCATTAATGCAAACCAAATGGGGAACTACTGATAGTAAAATAGCTGGAATAGTGATAGTAAGAGTGAAATTGTCGTGAAATATACATCAGACAAGTAGTTGATAGTTGGAAATGACATATTGAAATAGTAATATTGGTATAGTACAGTAGTAATATAGAATTACTTTAGTAATACAAATAGTGATGCTATAGTGATAGTGAAATTATAATGATAGTGATACTGATTCAACAGTGATAGTGATGCTGATAGTGGTAGTACAGTTATTAGTTGGAATAGTGATAGTAATTGTGAAACCAATATAATAATCGCAATAGCGATAATAATGCCAATAGTACCAGTAATGGCAATCGTGATAGTATGGTCCCATTGTATAAGGCGTTATGGCAGTTTTCGACGGAAAAAAGGTGGTTTAACCATCAAAATGGTGAAACCATCAGCTTTCGCACGCAAAAATTGGAATTTAAGCCTTTGAATCTTGGAAATGGCTGTGGTCCGAAATGCACTATACAGTACTTGCAACATGGCAAATAACAAATGAACAACCATAGGATGCTGGGGTACCCTGTTGTAACGCAAAGCCATGTGAACACAGGCATGATATTCAAGAGGAAGCTAGCACCGGAAGCAAGCACAAATTGGATGGTAGATGTATGTATATTAAATTAACTATGCCTTCCTGTAATCATTGTGACCCAGTCCAATGATGATTTACCCTCTGGTAACTTAACTGGTTGGTGGTTTCAATCCCTTTGAAAAATATTAGTCAGTTGGGAAGGATTATTCCATATATTATGGAAAATAAAAAATGTTTGAAACCACCAACCAGTTAATATAGCAATGGAAAGTAGTTCCCCATTTATAGATGATTTCTCATGATTTCCCACTAAAAACAAAAATGCAGATGCTTTCCCATTAATTAACATATCAATTTATAGAAAATTTTCATTAAACA